AATTTATCTTAACTTGTGTAACTTTTTGTTAGTATTGAGAGAAATGTTTTTGAAACTAAATTAACATTTGAATTACTCGTCTGATGAAATAATATTTGTCAACGTTTTTATTTTTACAATACAGTTACGAAGATAGTACTAATTTACTTCCGTTTCAGAAATAATAAATGTGTGTATAAGTCCACAAATGTTTACGTTCTTGCATAAACATAGTGATTGTTATTCTTAACTTCATTATGTTTTAGTACATTGTTTATTAAAATTATCAAGAACCCCGCGCGCTGTAAATATGACTTTAATATTCCAAAATCTATTCCACTCAAATTTTATGAGTTAAATATTTTCAAACTAGTAGGAAGTAAAATATACCGTCTTCATTTTAATCTAAATTTATCATGTATTGGCAAAATAAATCAATGCAATGACATAATACATATATAATCAGTAATATGTTTAAGTGCATAACAGGTACGTAAAGGATATAAAGGAATTTTTCATTGATATTTAATGTTAAAGCAGCACGCCTCCAGATTTCTGCTATCATGAAAATTTTGAAATTGTAATAAAAATATGTTGTGAAGTGAACAAAGAAAATAATTGTTATTGCAAAATGCACTTACAATCCATGTTAATTAGGGAAAGTTCCATTTCGGGTCCCGCCGACCCTCTTAAATTCCAGCCGACCCTTAACGTTTTGTTCGCCTTCTTGAACTTCTAAATCCAAGATAGTTGTATTTCCAGAAGGGAGACAACGAAATTATCATTTCACTTATGAAAATGAACCAATAAAAATTGTAAATAAATATAAATACCTCGGCATATTTTTTAATAGAAGTGGTTCGTTCACTAAAACTAAGACACATATTTCAGAACAAGCTACAATATCGATGTACAGCCTGATAAGAAATTCAGAAAAATAAATTTACCAATTGACTTACAAATTGAACTTTTAAATAAAACTGTTAAACTAGTATTATTTTATGGTTCTGTAATTTGGGGATACGGTAATCTCGACAGTATTGAACCGTACAACTGAAATTTTTTAAACATAAACTTAAACGTTCGACGGCCAGTTATTTCAGATACGGTGAAAAGGGATGCATGCAATTGTCTGTAGATATCGGGGAAAGAAAAGTTTTATTTTGGGCGCGTCTCCCTCAGAGCGAAAATGGTTTAATACCAAATAAAATATCATACATTTTATATAATTAGATGCTAGGCAATACAGTAAATATTGATGATAAATATTTTGAACGTAGATATCCATGGATTAATAATTTAAAATCAATACTAATAAAATGCGGTTTCAAAAATTTTTGGAATTATCATAATTTTTCAGTACCAAAAGGTTGAAATTAACAGCAAGACAAAAATTAAAAGATCTTTTCTTAAATGAATGGTATTCAAAGATAAATGAATCGAGCAATAGTTATTTTTACAAAATTGTTAAAAAGTCTTTTGGAATTCCACCTTATCCCTCGTAACCCCAAAATGCAATACTTTTTTATTTATCAAATTCATAACAAGAAACAATAGATAACCAGTTGAACCAGGAAGCTGGACAAATGTACCCGTTAATGAAAGAATGTGTATTTTTGCAGAAATATAATCGGTGATGAGTTACATTATCTTTCAGAATGAAATAGATTTTCTTATGAAGACAAATATATTAAACCCTATTTTTAAAGACATCATAATATGTATTAATAAGAACATTTTTTTTCAATGAAAGACTCACCAGCATTTTATAAACTATGCAAATTCTTAATGATAATTATAAGAAATGTAATTATGTAATCGCATATTTATGTTAGCATTTTAAAGTCAGTTGTGATTTTGTAATTTTCTGAGATATGATTTTGTTTTACTGATATTCACTAATCACTTTCTTAATTACTATACATTAACGGTCCTTTATGCCACAGATATACTTTTATTTTCGTTTCGCAAAAGCCTAATTTTTGCTGTACTTTAATAGTACTCAAAATGTTAATCACTGGCATATTACATGAAAGAAATACAGTTATAGTGAATTAGTGTTTTAAATGGAAGTAAAATGCTACTTTGTTCACATTTGACAACTTTTATGACAAATTATATCACATTTATTGCAACTTCTTCTGGTACCAAAAATCTATTATTATGTTAAAGCATTATTTAAAAGAAAATAAAAATGTTTCTAAGGCATAATGTGCCTCTGATTAAATAACGTGTAATAGATATGTTGATATTGTTTGGTAACTGTTGTTTGATTTCAATTTGTATAAATGCCTCGTTTAACATTTTGACATTAATCCTCATATCACATGTTGTATGCATGTTTGAATGAAAAAAATATGTTGTTGTTGTAAAAAATAACAACAAAAAATGGCTCATGTGAGTAAGGGGACAAATTGAACGACTAAATCGTCTGAATATCAAAGCGAATTCGTCCTATAATAATTCATATTTTCGTCGTATGTGCCAAAAGTATATATGCAACATAAGATTTAAAAGAATAATTAAGTGTGACAAAAATCCAATTGTACTGACTTTACATATTACATTAGATCAATCACTAGTGAAGTAGATAATTTGACAGATTAGAATCTTTCTTTCTCCATTGAATATTGAATTAAAGTCATGTTGATAACGAAAGTGTGAATTTTACATACAATTTTACATACTGCATACACTATTTTTGACAATAGTAATATTTAAAGCATTTATTTAACAAATTTGATTGTGCATGGGAGATAATTGCTATTGTCTTATCACTTAACCTGTATATCGAGTTATGTAACATCCGCCGCACCATAGCTTTAACACAATATAATTTCTTATTAACATAATTAACTGCAGTTATCTCATAAAAAGGAACAAATTAGTATGTAAATGTGTATTGTCCAAACAGTTTGGTTACTGATAGCGAACTTTACATATTGTGCGATTTTTTGGGAGAAAATCAATATGGTCATATCGACTGACCTCTATATCGATTAAGTTGTGAAACGTTGCACAGTATAGAAATAGACACCGCTATATCGATATGATAGAATATAATATATTTATTAACTTGATAATTAACTGTGATATCCTAATCAAAATGGATTAAAACGCTATATTTATGTGCATTGTCCAAACAAATGTATATGGCGTTACTGAGCTACTTTATATAAAGAATAGATTGAAAACTTAAGGGGCACAATCTTGTCAAAAGCGAAATACAAGATTAGCCACCCGGTAAATTGCACTTTAGTCTAAAGATGTATGTTTACTTATGTATTTCCTCATTCCTAGATCTTGCCATCAATGACAAGATATGAGGAGGAACAATTAGATAACAGCAGTTTTGCTTGTAAAATAACATCTAGATATACCTATATTTGAGCTGTAAAAAATATATTATATAGGATGTATCACACATTTACATGGCTGATATAGAAGAAATATAATATATTCATATGACTAACATATATTGACCAACATGTTATTTGGAACAATTATATATTAAGAGAAACATACGCTGTAGTACTATAAGTCTAGCTTTAACAAAAGTATAGACAGATATTAAAATCAATAACATACTAATCAGCTCCATATAAAGTATCTGAGCGCCTCACGGATGCTTTTGAAATATATATACTCTGTTTTCTTATTAACAATTGATTTACAGAATTCATTTATTCTATCAATTTTAACATATTTGGAGATTATCAGTAACAAATTGGATATATTGTGATCTTAATTGAGAGTACATTCTACATTGTAATACAACATGGAATTCATCTTCTAACACATTGCAGAATGTGCGTTTGCGCTCATTTATAGGTACACTGACAGGTCTTGCCCATTTTCCTGTTTCAATACATAATCTATGCAAGGAGCATCGCAGTTTTGTCATACAAGTATAAAATTTTCTTACACCCATACATTTTAAATATGGCTGTAGTTGAAATTGTGCAATACATCTGTAACATAAAACTCTAGTTGAATCATTTAGTCTACCAGTCCAATTTTGAATAAATTGATCTTTAATTCTTTGTTTAACTAAACTAAGAAATACTTGGAGCCATTGCGTCAGAGTTGTTTACATGTACATCGAAATTATAGCCACGTGTTCAGAAAATATTTGATATAGGTTGATTGATGAGTTTAATTTAGTGTAAAATAAAGTTGATGTCTGGCAAGTAAGACTTGCATTTTAACATAGACTTATAAATAATAAATGGACAACATGTTTTTTAAAAAGGAGCGAAGAACGGTGTGTTTTTTTCAATGAGATAAGTTTACACTGATTGATATTAAGGAGTTATACTATGGACAAGAATTATTATAAAAATAAGTATTACAGAGAGATAGTTCAAATATAAGGCTAGATAGGATCATATTTTTTAACGATGCATTTTCATTATAATAACCTCTATCATCATGAGAAGAAAAACATCAAAATGTTTTTTCAAATTTTTCTCTGGATAATCATTATTAAATATAATGCATTATAAAGAAATGTAATATAAACCCTACGCTTAAAACTATTATATTCTATCATTCTGTAAAATCCATTCGACATTTTTCAAGTTATTAGCCGGACAATCCTGAACAATAATCAAAGAGGTGATTAAACAATAACCTTCATTTATGGCTCCTTTACTCTGCACTTCCTCTTAATTGTCTGCGTAGATGTGTCAATTTTAAATAGAACATCATTTATAGTTTAGGACTTACATTACGTGCAAGTTCTATCAAATTATGGTCAATAACTTAAAAAAGGTAGGATTATAATTATAAGATGGTGCATTTTATCTCAATGGTTTCTTAAACTGTGTAAAATTTATTGAAATTCAATGTTTGTCTAGCTTATCCCCAGACTGATGGACGGACGTTAAGGACACAGGTTCCAGAGCAACGTTATGGTCTCATTATTTCATTTTTGTATTTAAACCCGACATTATGGTCCAACTTTTCACCTTTTTAACCCCAAAAATGCCATTTTAAACCCAGAACTACAATTTTACTGTCAAGACCTTAACCGCTGATATTTATTTCTTATGACCGAACAAAAAACGGACGTAGACTTCGCAAAGCGCTGAATATTTGTTCCCCTGCCACATATGTGAGCATAACAAACCTATAAAACAAAGCATTCATGTACAAGTAGTTATCTTCCCACTTGTTGTCGTCATTGTCACGTTATTAAATATGATGCTACGCAATTTGGATTACTTAGAATATATTGCTACACAATTTGGTTATGCTACACAATTGGGATGAGTTAAAATATGTTGAATTGCTCTGTTTGAGCTTAAGGTCACTTAGGAAAAATAGGTAAATTAGGACTGGACACCAGACACCGACATGCCTGAATCATAGGAACAGCTGGCGTCTGCCCCAACACTAAATAGAGTTTTCTTGAATTAATATGTAGAATATGAAAACTCTGAGGATACTTTGTTGTACCCATACTGTATGTTATATATATTTTATTTTGTGTTGACAAAAAACTCGAAACTTGATAAATTAAACAAATTAACAAAAATGGAATTAAAATCTGTATTCAACTTTATATCATTATTTGATTGTCATGTTATTCAATTACAGGTAAAGTGCGTTGTTGGGTTATACGATACATGTATTTTACATTACATAAACTAAAAGGTATATTTGTGTTTTTATTTCGTCGAAAACTTTCGTAAATTACTTCCCACATCGTTATACAAGGTAAACCTCGACAGGTATGACGTCTACATCGTTTTACATTTTATATATCTTGTGATAGTTAACAGATACGTGAAAGTGTGTGCACAGTTTCGATTTGTTTAACATAGTAAATGAATTGTAAACCTTTTTGATGCAACGTGGAAACTATTAATCAAGGTAAATAAATATGTTATGTTGTTATTTTTTTCTTCGGTAAATTAATAACGAATAGCTTCGAAATGCATGTTTTTGAACTTTAACAAGACTTTGTATTTTCCTGTCGTTTGAAATAAAAATCCATGTAGGAGATGTGTTCCATAATATTTGATCGATTTTATTTTGCCCAATATTGTCGTATCGTCATTTTTGTAGATGTAAGGTGCGACTGACTAGTCCTGTATGTACAAGGAGACGCAAGCTTGAAATACCACGCCATAAATATGCAGTTGGCCGAAGCTTGCAAAATAGCTAAAAGTACCAAATCCTTTTTCACCACAACTCTGGCTTGTCTGTATATCATCCAGATTATCTACAACTTGGATCGAGTGATTGTCAGACAAAGCATTTTTAGCTTTACTTCAGTTGGAATTCAGGTATAGATCCGTGCTTCAGACATCAGTCTCTAAATAGATCTGACATCTTCTATATGGAAATTTGATAGTTGTACTGATACGTAAAATCCAATGAATCGCGACCCCAATGTGAAGATAGACAATTTCATCAATTAGCCATGAAGGCACCAATTACATGCTTTATATGTACATTTGTAAGGTCGATTGGTCTGGGCAAACTCAGCGGTTTTAGAGAAAATGATACTTTTCCTACCTTTAAAGAAACACCCCTTTAATATTTGTTTACTCAAAGATGATATCTATTTCCAAAATAAAGATGAAAAATAAAGACAAAAATGTCGTTTTATTTAACTTCCTGGTACGCTTAGATCTATGTTGAAGCTTGGGTATAATTCGTCTGCCGAGAGAAACAGACGGACGTAAGAATGTACAACACGCTCACTTTCTTTGAGCATAAAAATCTATTTGATATAAAACTAAGCATTCAGTTATAAGCTATCTTCATACTTGAGTCGTTATTGTCATGTAATTAAATAACAATTATGTATGACGCTTTGCAATTTGAATGATTTAAAATATATTACTACACAACTGAGATAACACGAAAAGTATTGCGACACGATTGGGCCTAGTTACAAATATGTTGCTACATTATAGAGATTAGTTAAAAAAATCCTACACACTTAGGATTAGTTAAAGTATCATGCGAAGCAGTGGATAAGTCACAACTTCTGTTTAAGCTTTAAGCCGACTTAATATCACTTGTCTGTGTAGGTACCAATCCCGACACTGACATGTCTAAAATAACACACAAATGGTCACATAGGGGCTTATTGTCAATGTGGGTTCAAATCCCGGCATCGGCATATCTGGAATATTGCTCAAAGGGCAGCAGGCGTTGCCTGCAACAGTAAAGCAGGAAATGACCATTTAAACTCTACAGTGTTTGTGTGACTTGAAAACGATTTAAAAAATAGTTTACAGTCTCTTTTTATTTTAAGTTTTCTTTAAAACAATAAAAACAATAATCTGAAACCTTAAAGGATTCTTTGCTCGGTATCCATGCTCTATGTGATATAGCATTTATTTATTGTCTAAATATTGATAATTTTAAAACACATAAAATTAACAAAAATAAAAGAAATATTGTTTAAATTAAATATGTACTTAGCGTTTTAGGTTTATAAGATATCATACATCTTTTTAAAAATATTTTATTTCGTTGAAAACGTTCGAAACCACTTCCTTTTTTTATCTACCTTAATAGAATAAATATCTTACTACCTTAAAACCTTAACAAAATAGATATAATAGAAACGAGGACAAAGAATGTCTCAAATGACAGAAAATCAGACAAATACACGATATATCGCTTACTTGATTAACAAGTTTACAAATCCCGACAAAATACATTTTATATACATGTACCTTCATAAATTTCACAGATCTTGTCAGAGTTTACACATTCGCGGAAGACGGTGCAGTTCTCTGGTGGGATATTACGACATTTTATAATATGTGTTAACCTATTTCTGTCTAAGTTCCTAATATTATATATTATTCAACGTGGAAATAATACGAAGGTAAGGTAAATGGAAATATATGATTAATATAAATTAATAGCAAGTTAATCAAATTAATTTAACATGATTGTGAAATGTTGTTTTATGGATTATCTTATTATAACAGCAGGCTAAGATTGTTAAGGGCTTCCAAAGTTGTTTCCAAGAAATTTGATTCCATACAGAAATCTTGTTGCCATGGCATCCAAAAGTAATTATAAGAAAAAAAATCTCCTAAAAATAACAAGGCCTATAGCAAATATATTTTTGCATAAGGCATTGTATGGTAGACCTCTTCCAAGCCCTGAAGTCAAAATTATCCACTATCCGTAGGGTGGGGTGTCATTGGTTTTCATTATTAAAATCTTAAAAATCTACTTGTCTGAAGTAAAAAGGCCTATAGTTTTTTGTATTAGGTATAATTTATAGGTCATCTTCCAAAATTGTTCAATTTTTGTCTCTAGTGTTAATATTAGCCCCATCCAGGGGTCATAGGTTTATAGTTATATAAAATATATATAATGAAAATTGAAAAAAATCTTCTTCTCTGAATTAACAAAGACTACAGGTAAGATAATTGGCAAGATATATTGTGTATTGGACCTCGACCAAGATTGCTCAAATTATAGCCCTAGAGTCAAAATTCGCCCCTCCCAAAAGGGGATCATTGATTTTCACTATGTACATTTAGTAAAAAAATGTTCTTTTCTGAAAGTGCAAGACCCACAGTTTTGACATTTTGTATATAATATCTTATAATACTGCACTTTGTAACGACGCATTTTATTGGATAATCGTAACGTTTATATAGTTTTATAACACGGCTGCTGTCGATTCATGAAGAAATCTTACTTTTTCTCCACAAAATGTTGCTTTCTGTATTATAAATTCGTTGTAAAAATTGTTGACAGGTTTTTATTGCTATATATAAACGACTGTTTGCAAGATTACCCGAGCCGTTTATATAGGGCCATATAACCTGTCAACAGTCTTTATAACTAATGATATAAAGGTCCTCTACCAAAGATGTAAAAACATTGCATATACATGTAGTATGAAAATTGGCCCCATCTCGAGCGACGAAGATTTTCAGGATAAGGTATGTAGTTAGAAAATACAAAAATCATCTTAAATAACGAAGGTGAGAAGTAAGATATTTGGCATATAAAATTGTCTAGTAGACCTCTACCAAGTTTGTTAAAATTATTGCCCTAGGGTACAAATTGGCTCTGTCCCTAGGCCATAGATTTCCACTATATGGATAGTATTATATGTAAATTTGAACTTTGGTATCAGCTTATATCAGCTTTGGTTACCTATATTTTGATGAAGTGATATCCTTTGGCTTTCTATATATAGCTAGTACATTTTGGCAATGTGTACATTTTCAGGTGTAGAACTGAAGTATGATCTAGTGACCAACTTCATTCAAATTCTTATAATAAATACTAGCTATCTTTCACTACTTTTACACAAATAACAGTCTGGGTTCAAGTGAGCGATTTTGAGCTAATGACCCTCTTGTTATGCATTTTTTTACTAAAAAAAAGAGATTCAATAGGTGAGAGTTTTCTAAAGGCCATGCCTCTAGCAAGAGATATGTTTGCTTTTCAGAAAATCTTATGAAATGACTTGAGGTCATAACCTCTAGCAAAAGTACTAGTGTATTGCTGGGATATTTTTTTTGAAATTATTGGAGCATATTTGAGCAAGGGAATTATGATAAGTGTTTAAGGAAGCTAACTGTTACTGTATTTCTAAGTTTAATTCAACTATGTAATGCAGAAAATACTAAAGATTTTATCAAGTTAGAAAACTTTCATTTTAGAACCATTAGTATATTATTGCTTTTGTTTATTTTAAATTCAAATTTCATTTGAAAGGCTGAAATATGACATCGAGCCCTAAATTCACTAGACATAACTGCATTATGGCAAAATTTAAGGTAAGAAACAAAAACGATATCTTCTGGCCCTAATATTTAGTGTTGTATTAATGCTGGTGCATAGCATTTTTTCGCGAAAGCAATCTTCTTGTATCTTTTTTCGAAATCTGATAAAAATTTGTTCACATGAATATGAAAATGTCGACAAGTGTACACATAAGGTGATTCAAACAGGCCTCAGACTTTATCTTCAACTTGAGAAATACGCAATATTTTTGTAAGTTACAAGGTAGAATTTGGGGATAATAAGTGATATTTGGCATATTTTTTTCAGGTAAGCTTACAAAATGGAAAAGCGGCACATTTACATTGCAATGTGCTCAACCCACTCTGATGAAGTTGCTAAAGCAGCGTGCATAAGCACAAAAGAACTTCTTTGTTTTGATTGCATTTTGGAAAAAGCAAAGGCATCAGAACCTGTTAAGGAACTTCAAAAAATGTCTGATGGAGTTGAAAAGCTCATACTTGATTCTTTAATGGAGAATCAAAAAGCTCAGAGAAAGAACAACTATATTGACGTATACAAAAGGAAAGCAGAAGATGCCAAAGAAAAAGTAAGTGATCAAATTCATTGTTTTTATAAAGAACTTTCTGAAAAAATCACTAAAATGAGAGATAATACACTTTTATCTTTGGAAGCAAAATATACTTTGTTTCTTGAAATGTGTAATAAAGACGAAGAGAAACTCAAGACTACAACGCAAAGGATCAATGAACACCTCGATAAGTTATCTTCAGCAAAAGAAGATGATCTTGATAAATTCAAAGCAGAATTGGAAGAGATCATGAAGAAACTAGATGACATTGCTGATCATGAATCTTGTCCTGAAGCAGATTTTCATGCTTCAAAAAAATTGAAGGAAGTTATACTTATGCCAGAGAGCAAGATTGGAGAAGTCAGTTTGTATGCAAATGATCATTACGAGGAGCTGGGGCCAACAGAAGGTGCGGAAAATGAAACAAACCCCGAGGGAAAAGGTTTTGAAGAACCACCGCCAGCCATTCCTCCGAAACCCGAAAGTAAGATAGTTGATTCGGATGAAGTCAGTTATGTTAAATCAAAAGTAATTCCACATAAAAATACAATATCAAGTAATGAGTCAGGTTCGCAAGTACCTGAAGACAATTGGAAATCAAAAGGAGATCAAAAAAAGCGGGCAAAAGAAAAAAAAACACGAACAAGCTTTTTCCCGTGGAAAAGTAAACCAGATAAACTACAAGATAAGCTACAAGATTATGAAGAAGTTAGTTTTACAAATGAAAAATACGAACGAGAGGCAAGGTATTTAGTTAATAAAACAGTAACACTGTCTGAGTTTCCAGGTGGGTTAAGTACCTCGTTTAAATTCACAAAGCTTATTCCAATCGGTTTGAGTAAAATTGGACTCTTAAGCGAAAAACATTCAAGTATTTTTGTATGTGGTCTGGACGGAAAGATTCAATGTACTAACAACTATCCCAAAGACGCTGTTATCAGCATTGTGGAAATGACAGATGATATGATAGCGGTACTCAACAAGACAGGAACGTCAATTGAAACAGTAAAAGTAACAGACAAGAGATTTGAAGTTAAAAATACTATTAGCATTAAACTGGACATTTCAAAAGTCACGGGATTTGATTATTCAAAAACAAAATCCCAGTTTGCTATTGGGACCGAAACGGAATATGTCATTCTTGATAAAAAAGGAAAGAAAATCAAATCCATGAGAATGGAGACAAGTGTGGATACTAAAGGGACGTCTTTACAATTTATGATTTTGAAAAAAGCAAACGCTTTCATTATCAATAAAAACCAAAAAATCTCTGAAAAATGCTTTGGTGTTCAAAAGTTTGCGGAAGTCATCTGGGAAACGCAAATGTGAAGACCCATTGTTTCAGCCAGAATCAGCATGTTTGTACCAAGGCAAGCTCAACATTACATCTTCTCATGCAGTCATACAGTTTTCAACAGCAGATGGAAAGCCTGAAAAGGAAACACGAAACTGATGATCTCATACAAACTGTCTCGGACTCTGTGTAATAGATAATGTGTTTGCGATTTCTTCAAATTCACCCGATCCTGAAGAATCCAAAAAAGCTAGGTTTTCTGGCTCTGTAGAAATTAGTATAAAATAGTGAGTGGCGTAGGTTTTGAAGCAATTAACAGTCAAATCTTCATAAATATATGAGTAAAATGTAGTTTCAAAAAACTAACAAAACATCCTTTTTTTAAAATGTAAAAAATAACTAATGACGACAAAAAACCAAAACAGTTAAAAACGAAAGAACGAACCCTCTACTTCCGGGGTTTACGCGCCTTTAAGTTTGCATCTTAAACAGCTTGCAAATTTAACGTATAAATTCTAAGAACTTATTTAAGCCTTCTAATATTTGTTTATATCATGTTTTATTCTTATGGTTTGCAGTTTTCATAAATCTCCGTATACTCTTTGTTTAAGTAGCTTTATCATTTCATCAGGTTAAGCTATGGTATATTTTGTCTTGTATAGCTATGCAATATTTTATCATATTATACAGCTACGACATCATTTTCAACTATGAAATACTTAATCATATTAAGCTATGGTATATTGAATCATGTGCAGATACAGTATATTTAATAATGTATATAGTAGTCCAATTTGTTGTGCCCTTCATTATTTTGTCAATCAATTCACAAATCTAAATTATCGCTTTACTTTGTAATGCACAGTCATAATAACGACCATAATTTGATCTGATGAACACTGTGAAATACATACCAAACTTCAATTGATAAGGTGCATCAATATATGCGCTATATACTCTCGATTTATCATTACATTTTTCGTAATCAATTAAGGTATTAAATGATAATCATGTATCAGAAAAAATTTAAACACACCTTATGGCAATATTTCGGTTTAATTTCAAATCGGGGGTCGGGTGTAAAGGGGAAGTCTTGGGCTTTGATCAGTGAATCTGCTGAACAGCTTTGTCATTGTATAGGTTAGGTCTACGGATTATGAGTCAGTAAATTTCAAGCATGTGGCGACGTTCATGTTCTTCATATAACATTAGTAGCTATTCGGTAGTAAAATAATGTTTAGCTGTAGAACCATGCAGTTAGTTACAATGAACAGGTAAAGTGGTTGGTTTCTTAATACCAAAAAACCAGGGACCCACTGTAAGATCAACCGCCCGCCGTAATACAACTGAAATGGTTTTGCAACGCGGTGATAGAAATAAGTGCTCCGGCTAAAAAGTATTTAAAAAACAAAATGCGCCTAAACATATTACCTACTACAAACGCAAATATTCTTAAAAGACAGTGTTTTTTTGCACTCAAAAATTATTAGAAATTGCTTGGTACGGTGTAACATTTTAAATTTTTGTTAAGTGTTTTGCTTTGAGCACATTACATACATGACCCCAGACCGTAACTTGCTTTTATAACAGAATTTATTGATGAAAGAATATTTCTGTTTAATTTAATTGTCATGGGGAGGAGAGGAGAAAACGATTAAAAAAAACCAGATTTTTTGGTCATAATTATATTTGTTATGGTGAATGAATGAACGTGGACAATAAATCTAAGTATATAAGCTAGGTTTTTTTTTTTTTAAAGAACAGACTATACAAATTAAAAGAGACCTCCGACTTGTCAAGCAAAATAACAAATAGAACTTTTAAAAAGCGAAAGTGCAATGATTGTTCTATAAGAGATTAACCCTCACTCTAACACATTTTGCCATGAACACAAGCTTTCAATTAACCCACAAATAATTGATAATCCAACTCCTGCGAACTTAACCGTCCGGTAAACACACTAGGTAGAACGTTTGAATGTAATTCGGGCCACCCGATTTAGATTTTATTTTCGTAGTAATCGATCATAAAATCCTTTCATTCGCTTTGTATCTAAATGATATATCTTTTTTGTAATAAAGTCATGTATGTACCCAGATAACCTTGTTAGACAATATTGATGTTTTTACTTAATGTACTAATATAGACGAAGGACATTGACACTTTCATTTTGAGTGACAAAGCATGCAAAATTCAAAACTGCAAATTGATATTGTTTTAGTCGCCAACAACGTTAAAAAATATAATTTGTAGTGAAAGTGTTAAGTCTTAATGCTAAAAAACATTTGAATTTGAATATATATATATATACTTAACAAAAAAGAAACTTCCCCTGTGTTTAAAAGGAGATATTGTTTTTAAAAAATCAAATGCCAAATGAGCTACATATATACGGTCGAACGATTATGTGTCCGATAGAACAAATTTTTACTCTATTTTTACTCGTTTTGCAGAAAAATCCGACTGCATGTGATTTCACGTGAATTCCGGACCAAAAGTATTTTTGGTATGCACAAATTATGCAAAATTATTCGCGTACGTACCATTGACATCTTTAATGCTCGACACCTTAGGCAACGTTTATAAGCAACAGAGTGTACAGAAGATCGGCCACGTAGTGGACGTCGGTGCGTCAAGACGCGTGTCCAATTCCGCTTAATTTGGTACACCCGCCTGCGCAGTTGCCACAGCTATTGCACCGTTGGAGAAATAGACGTTTTCCCGACTACTGCAGGTTAAGTTTTCGCTACCGGAATGATATTTTTGCGAGGCATGTTATCCTATTGTTTCAAAATAATGCCAACATTACTCTTTTTCAAAATTATAATGTCACACATACAGTTAGGGACACTGTGAATTTCCTCAGGGCGAATTAAATTGTATTGATTAATGACTGGCCTGTCAAAAGGCCTGATATAAATTCCATTGGGATAGTTAAGACCAGCGTGTTAGACGTCGGCCTATTCCACCGTCAAACGTCATTCAGCTAGGACAAGCCTATATTGCGGAATGGAACAACATTCAACAAGCCAAAATCAATACGCTGATTCGTTCTATGTGCCAACGATGCCAGGCAGTCCTTCATGCTGAAGATGGTCTTACCCGATATCTATTTATGATAAAGTTGACCACTACCATGTTTTTCTTTTGGATAAACCCTCACACAAACTCACAATAAAACCCTCTTTCAATACATATATTTAATCAACTTATGAAATCCTGAGTGTCATATTTGTGTATATCTGCACTTAAATACAGGTAAAGTTTGTGTTTTGTTCAGTATATATAACGTAGCTACAAATCGTTTCTTTATTTAATTGCTATTCATAAAAATGCAACAATGTCGTATAGTTTGAGTGTCAAAGGTATCATCTGTTTATATATCCATAACCACGATGCATAATGAAAATATTTGTAAAACTGCGTCTATTATTTTATAAAATAAATGACACGAAACAGGAAGATTAAATAAATATCTATGACAAAAGAGACTTGTAATAAATCATGTATTGTTTAAATATATCGATAAATTAATTTTTGTTTTACATTTAACTATACATGTTGATATTGGGCAACCGAAAGCATGCATTGCCTAAATTTATGATGATATTATAAAAAATAAGTTCATATTTATATGCAACAAACATAACTTTATGTTCCCTGGGGGGGGTGCAAGTGCATCACCGTTTCAGTGAAAAGTAACATGCTTATAGTTTCAATTTATTTATTTAAAATTTAATTTAATAAAATTTAATGCAATAATGAATAGAAAACTATAAAGATATTTTGTTTGGTACGAAAGTGTCACATTGAAGATTCCATGAAAACCGCCGTATAAATAAGTTCAAAATTTCCAATTTTATATCTATCTACCTGAAATCGAAAAATACCTTAACAGTATAGATACGATTGACAGAAAATCAAACAACACACTATAGCGCTGACTTGAGTAAACAAGTATACACGACCCGACTGAAGTTATATATAAACCGTTATAAACTTTAAAGATATATAGAGTTCAACATTAAAATATTTTCGTTATTTTATCTGTTAAAGGGTTTCTAAACTTTGATAAAAATTGTTTTCATAAGTATGAAATTGCTGTCAAGTGTGTATATTTGAAGATTATCTTAAATATTTTCGTAGTTAAAGGGGTAGATTTTTGTTTTTCTATGTATGATATAGATTTTGAACATTTGTACATTTATAAACGAATATATTTCTATCATTTAATTGTTTTCATTTAAATGACTCTTTTACTAAATATTATCCTATTCGGTTCGGAATAGTTAGGTTGAAGGGTTTGGACGAATAAAATCATTTCCTTACAAGAAACACATTAACTATCCAATATTAGCATTTTTATACCTTTTAAGGTAGACCACCTCCACTTTGAAGAGTATTCAAATAGGCTAGCATTACTTGCCAACTACATTGAAATTGAGGGGCGTGGGTTCAAACCCCAGAAGGGGCATTTTTTCTCTTTTTTTAACATTATTTATGTATCTCTCAGATCCCTTATGGAAGGAAAGATGTTTGATTTTATATATAATTATTGTAGGCATTATTTTCTAAATAATGCCAAATTTAATAACAAAATTAGTATGATACCAGATATTTCCAAAAGTAAATAAAATAAAAACTACAGGTAAAAGTATTTTATATTTCGAATGATTAACCAATATACTTTTAAGAAAATTTAAACACACTTTGAAAACAGGCCCTTCCTGTGTTAAACTTTAGGGATATTTTGAAGAAGGCTTTTTATATAGGGAAATGGTCAAATAGGTGTTAAAAGTGGGTGGGGTAACATTTTCATACATATTAAAAACATTTTGTTTAGAAAGAATCACTTTGCTCGTGTAATTTGTTACCTGAATGTTATTATTTGTTTTTAAACAATGAGCAATAGGAAAACATGTTTCATTTTTGAAAAAGCCGTTTTAGTTCAGAAATATACTGGCGAAGCAAAAAGCTAAAAAAACAACTATATTGACAAAATGAAAGCCAAACAAAAAGTGAGGGAACAAATTCAATGCTTCTATGAAAAACTTTCAGAAATCGTAAAAATGAAACATAACACACTTCTTACTCTGGATGCTAAATGCACTTTGTTTCTCGAAGTGTGTAATGAAGACGAAAAGAAACGAAACACTACAATGCAATGATCCGTAAGCTAGCTAGATAGCTTCCTCACATGAAAGAATCCAAAGTCCCTGAACGTCGGTGGTTCTACTCAGGTGCCCGTTCGTGCCTGAAATAATGCACCTCCACCAGTAAAGCTGGAACGTCGCGATATGACCTATACTGTGTCGATGTGACGTAAAACCCAAAACAAACAAAAACAAAATTATTAAAAAGAACACTGAAACTTTTTAAGATTTGCAGTTTGTTTAAATATGCGTGTTTTCTTTGATAAATTAGCTATGGTATATTTTACGAAGTTTAGCTATTGTATAGGTTAACAAGTATAGCTATGAAATATTTGATCATGTATAAGAGCTTTTATATATTTCATTTTGTAAATCTATGATACATTTTATAATGTATAGCCATGATGTATTTATCATATACAGCTATGGTATATAAAATCATGCACATCTATAGCATATTTTATCACGTATAAAGTCGTCTTATATTTAATGCCTTATTCATAAAACTAAATAATCGCATTTATTGTTTAATGTACACTCAAAAATGACACTCAGACATTTATCTTGCAAAAATGTACACTGTGAAATACACTGCTAACTTTATTGATAGCATGCATAAATGTATGTGATATATACATTACATTTAAAACTTTCGTTTTGAAAGTAAAGCACATTTTACAAATCGATTTATTACTTTTGTGCAAGCAATTTATGTAATTAAATGACGATCAGGTATCAAAACAATTTAAACAAAATTCTCATGATAATATCTGGGAAAACATGATCCCTCGGAAGCATTAAATGCAGCAAAATTACATGAAAATTGCTGAATCGGTTTGATTGAGTCAGTACATGAGGGTTAATGTAAAGTGTACTTTGAATATTCTTCAGTTTACTTTCCGATAGGTGGGGTAAAGGGGCGGCAAAAAAACAACGTGCTGAACACCTTTGTCATTTTATAGGTAGGTCTACAGATTATGAGTCCGTGATTTCGTGCATTTTGGTCCCTGTTTTTCATAAATATTCGATACCGCCCGTTGTTATATAACTGTAATGCTACTGGAACGCGGTTATAATTGCTCCGTCTAACAAGTATTTAGAAAAAAGAAACATACGGTGCAACACATAGACGTCAGATAGACGTCTTAGATATCATCCTATCATGCTATTTTCGTTTAATACAATGTCTTTAAAAGCACTGCGTGTTTGTTAATAAGTACTGAGTAAATTTCTATTTGGTTAAGTGTTTCGCATGAACACATAATTGTTTCATAGACTACATACAATGGCCCTTGATCGTAGCTTAGGATTGCTTATTACAGAATATTTTATTTATATGAGAATATTTCGGTATACAGTAAACATATTTCATACGAAATGATTGAATCATCAGATTTTACTTTTGTCATATCTATATTTGTTATAAAGGTGATAATGAAAATAAAAGAAATGTTGTTTTTATTAACCCACCCGCTATGTAAATTTATATATGAAGCAGAGAGAGAGAGAGAGAGAGAGTAACAAATGGAACTATAAAAACGGACGTGTGCGATTACTTGATGTCCACATCAAGGATTGCCGTATCTTCCATCATATAAAATAGTTGGTCGTATGACGCTGTGCCAAATTTTCGTCCAGAAACGTTCAATTCTTTAAAAAGAGATTGCAAAACTTAATATCTATTCTTAATTCTTGTAAATGTATCAAGTCCAACAAAAGAGTTTTCGGGATCAATAGGTAATAGTGAATCCTCTTTTATCCTAATTAGTCAAAACGAATTATTTGACTTTCTAAAGCAATGGAAAAGTTCCATTTAACTATAATTGGAGTGCTCTGTTCTTTGTTATTTTTAACAATGTATGTCATAAAATGTTATTGGATAGCTTTTTATACAGTTTTTTCAGGTGAACCTGATAAACAATAAATCACCAATTTGGTGCAGAAACAGTTTAACACCAATTAAATAGAAGTTTCCAGTTAATGCACTAAGGTGATGAAATACTTCTACTAAAGAAACAATGCATAACTTCACAATCAATGATAGGTAAATAGCAGTATATCTAAAAGTGTGGCTAAATCATCGCACACGTTTTATTTATGGGCTTGGACTCTAATTTTACTTTAACAGTAAGCTGCTTTTTAATCAAGTACATAGAATATATATGGTAAACAAGATCAACAAGGAAAGGCGGCGTTCAATGAACGCAACCCCAACAAAACCCAGCAACATGACCAGGAGCCCAAGAGGACCCCAAACAAAACAGGACAGGGCATTAATACCATTAATGAAGTTTGCTCAGCAATCGTATATTGGTGCTTTACTTTGAAACAAGAACATAGCTTTCAAAATTATCAGATTTAAATAAGACATTGGAACTAGAAATTTTTATATACATGTTTTAAAACTGTTGAAATTTAATCATTGTATATTAGATGCAGGAGAAACATTTATCAGATTATAGTTCGAACAAAATAATATTAAAGTAGTTATTTTAAAGGTAACTGTAAATGCCATTTATTTAAAAAGTTATGACAAATGCAAACAACATTTCAATACCTCTTATTGTGGACTCTACAACCAATAATACAGCTATTGGTGTCCAACCCCCGATGTTGCAGCATGTACTATGCTATCTTGATATTTTCTCTTTATCAGTATGTCCTCAACCTCAATTGAATATGATTAACAAGATCAACAAGGAAAAGCGGCGTTCAATGAACACAAGACCATATTTACGGACTCCATTCAGAAACGTTGCCAAAGCTGTGTGAGCTGTATTGTTTGGTGTAATTTATGCATACATTAGTAGTCTCCATAACCCATCAATGCCAGCATGAACCACAAATCTCCATCTTCAAGGTAAATAATTATGAAAGTAGTGGTTATCAAAACAATAGAAGAGACAACTTTACAACTATGTATTACTTTAAATTAAGGATAATATATTACTGTCATCAACCAGAGGGGCATCAAGACGCATCCACATACAAAGTATGATGTACCTATGTATATGCACATTCACTTTATAGCCCATTGAATTTTTTGAAATATCAGGTCCCAGTGACATTGGCCTTTTGAACTGTAGAACATATCAAGTTGTATCCAAATATGAAGTTTAATCATTATAGGTTAATAGGTATTGAAATGATAGACCAATTACATAAGAATTGCAGATTCGGTTTGATTGAGTCTGTACATGAGGGATACTCAATTCTCAGCACTTAATAGTGCTGGCATTAACGATCCCGAAGGACCAGAAAAATATAACAACACTGAAGTGAAGTACGGCGCAACTTTTTACAGCTGCCACACGGCACTTGACACCTGCTGACCACTTGTCAATGTATTTATTTTGACAGCGCTGGCTGGCTATGAAAATCGTACCAATTTACTTCCTTTTTTTCTAAAAAAAAATATAACATGTGTAGAAAGTCAAAGTTTATCAATTTGTAATTTCAAACAAGGAGAAAGTAAAATATCCCATTCTCTGTATTGTATTTCATTTTAATCTAAATCTATCAGGTATTGGCAACAAAAATCAATGCAATGACATGATAAATACACAAATCGGTAATACTTTCAAGTTTATTAAAGGTATGCAAGGATATGAAGTACGTTTTTAAATGATATTACATTTAAGATTCCTTTGTTAAATGATAAAGCAGTACAGTAATAAAAAACAAGGTTCTTAAAACAGAAATGTGATTAAAAGATTCGAAAATTTCTAATCAAATGCAACACTTAAAAATGTAAACACAATTCAGATATTTAAATTTTCAAAATTTACAAATTCTTTTTAACCCCAAAATTAAACAAAAAAAAAAACAAAAAAACCCCACCTTCTATTTTTTCAAATTTTTTATATAAAAAGAATAGAAAATATTTTAAGATCCCCTAGCACCATCACGTTGCAGAGTGGTAAGATGTGAATTGTCCGCTAAAATATACATACACAGTAATACATGCACTTGATATTTGATGCCAACATTTATGTTTTAAACTTGCAGATCATTTGTTTTTCCATAGCGTACCAATTCTTTTGTATTAACCCTCATTTATACCGCGAACATTTTAATATGAAACCTCCGTTCATAACACAAATACATGAATGTGACTCTTATAAAAGTGTCACTAAAAGAGGTACTGTCAAACTCTTCTAGATTTTTAAAAAATGTTAAGCAAGCATGACGAATCAGCGTTTTGACATACGCACATATCACACATATATATGAAACATTGTTGATATCTAAAAGTAATCAGAATATAAAATAAAAATAACAAAAACGCTCGAATACAATCCTCCAAAAAATAGCTCCTTTAATTGCCTTTGATCAAATACTTGTGTGACGAAAATTGTTGGAATGTTATTAAGATGAAACCATTTCGTCTGTTTGTTTTAGTACTTTCAAATGACCTGTAACGTAAGCATTAAAAATCACATGCATATATATGCTAGCTTTGTTGATATTTCGAAATTGTCGGAGCCTGAAGAAAATACAAGCACATTATCAATGACACATACGCCAAGGCAATCCTCCAAAATATAGTTGGTTTTATGCTTGTCTATTTGGTCAACTGAAGTTGCTGAGATTACAGCAATATCGCTTCCACAAGTTATACATAGTTTGTCATTGTAAAGACACATGCCTTTTGCCACACCGGTGTTCTCAAGCTTACTTTTCCATTTTGTACGTTTCTTTTTAAACGAAAACATCTTTAAAGAATTGTCGCATGTGTTTAAAATGTAAAGACAGTCTTTTTCAAAATTATATATAGTAACTAATTCATTCTTGCTTTGACCATTTGCAGCGTTGTATGTCTTCGCTTTTACTATTTTTCCGCTTTTGTCGAGAATAATCACCTTTTCGGGTGTACTTACAGCAAAGTTTGACGAGCAAACATCAAAGTCAAATCCAGTAATATTGCAAAACTGTTCATCTGCAATGATGCTACCAGCTAGCGTCAACTTATTGGTACACACTTTGAATTTGTCAATTTGAAGACTAGTGTCCTTCACTGTAGCTATTCCTCCTATGCCCAAACCACACATTGATATCCTTCCTCCTTTTAAAATTGCCTTGTCAAAATAATGGCCGTCTAAACCAACAACAAGTACTGAGTTGTGGATATCTGACATCAATCCAATGCAGCCCTCACCTAAGTATACTAGTTTAGAAAACTTTAAAGCGGAGGAAAAATTCTCTTTTTTTAATTCTGATACTTTGACGGTTTTGTTTATGAATTGTTTTTGGTCTATACCTTCCGGCCAAGCAACTGTTTTGTAAGCGTTTAATCCGGACTTATCTGCGCTAGTTTCATATAGTTTATGTTCATTTTGAGGCTCGTCTTCTCTTTTAGCATTTTTCCATTTCACATCTTTTTCAAATGCAGTTGATTTAGCTTTCTTTGTTCCAGAGGAGAAAAAATTGGAAATACCAAAGAGTCCTTTGCTGCTTTGCTCCTTCTGGTCTGATGTTGTGCTCTTTCTGCTTTCTGTCTGTGCAGGCATATCTTGTCGTGAATCATCCGAGATTTGTGCTACTTTGGCGTTATGATCATCCAATACTTCATCCGAATATATAGGCTCTTTCTGGGGAGTATCAGGGATTATATCATAATGCTCTTGGTCTATTAATGACACGTAGCTCAGAAAATTGTCTGACTGCATAATTGAATTTTCTAATTTAGCATTTGGTTTGAATGAACTTTCTAGCACAGTCTCCTTAACATGAAGGATTTCAAGAATTTTCTTTTCAGTCTCATTTAATTCCTTTTCAAGATCACTGGGATCGTTGGAATCAATAGATATTTTTTCAATGTAAAGATTGATTTCTTTTTTTTAAAATTAGAAGAGGTTGTTTTTTACCTTCATTTGCTTGCAGGATAGTATTAGCTTGTTTATCAAGTAACGCCAAACTGCTCGATTTCAACTGTTGTATACGGTCAATAAGTTTCTTATACGTGTCCAGTACATTTTGTTCTAAGACTTTTTTCATCTCATCAGCCTCCTTCACGTGTCCATCAATTTTTTGTTCCTTCTTTGAAACACTTTGCTTTAGCGACAAACTTCTTAATAAAAGCGAATCCTTTTGGCCTAAATGACGTATATCAAGAACTTCACAATCTGAAAATTTTGCTGCTTTTAAGCCACAAGTGACGCACATAAGCCGTCTGTGATTCAAACAAAGTATTTCAGCGACAACATCTTCGTGTGTATCACACAATGGTGTCGACACCATTGTCATTTGAGCCATGTATCTGCAATATAAATGCAAACATAGCCTATATCTAAACAATTTATTTATTCATTACCATGACATAATTCCTCCACAATTTTATCACTTTCTTTATTCCATAATAAGTTCCTTTAATTAGCAATATATAAATATTTCAATGTCTTTTTTCATTGTGAGAAACTTTAAATCCTAGGTATCCAAAAAAACTATTTTTTAATTTGACATTAAATAAATGCATATAATACTACTATTAGTCCCTTTTGTTACTATTTGTGTATTTGTTACAATTCATAATAATAATAAAAACAGACTTTGTTCATTTTGACTACTGTTTCACATGTTCCATAGAAATTAATAGTCTAATCTCTTGCAAACCTACCAAAGTTCATGATAAACATTGTTTTATGTTCTCCCATTTATCTATGATTTACAATTCTGGTAAAATTAAATTAACCACTGAAAACTTTATAAGAATATCTAATCTTCAGATGTCATCTAGTTCATTGTCATTTGCTGCATTTCTTGCTTGAACCCCCCCCCCCTTTTTTTGTTATATCATGATGTACCATTTGCCGCGAAACATGCAAAGAACATTTTGAAAATCAAAGTCCATGACAGTTTTTGTTTTTGCTTATTAACATATGAATTTTTATATTTCTTATACTATGATTAGTTGTAACAGTTGATATTTGTAGAAAATGAGTATCAATATAGGTGAAAAAGAAAGTTTACATGCTTTGATATTTTTATCATCTTATATTACTGACTATAACTGACTACAGTAGTGACAAAAATAGAACAATGTTGCACTACTGTCATGACATATTACATTTACAAGTCTTTTATTTCACATTACATGTCCCGCTCCTTTCACCCTTATGTCCGCTCTAGGTTTTTTGAGTGTGTCGGGGGCCGCGTGCTGTGAACGTTGCCTTTGTCTTGTTGATCTTTATTCTTGTTTTATTTTTGTTTTGTTTGTATTCAATGGAATTACTTTCCTTACCAGGAAGGCATCAATATTTAATATCAGGCCCTTCTCTTATGGACAAGTATGCAAATAAAAAATAATCGGAATAATGTACGATAGTACTTAATCTGAATAGAACATGACCTGTGCGTACAAATGATTTGGTAAAGTATCTGTAATGATAGCAACTTTTGCGCGGAGCTTCTCAAATGTTGCATTTGCAACGGTTAGATGCTTTTACCTATACGTTAAAATAATTTGTCGTAGAAAATGAGAACAAAGTACTATTCTGACTCCAGTACAAAACACCATAGTACTAAAACTGTGAAAAGCAACAGAAGTGAAAGATGGTTCAAGTAAATGACCAATGTTTCTATTGTTTGGAAATTATTCAATTACACCAAAATAAAACAGACAAATAACCATAACAATAAATTCTAGTGAACACTGTAATTAACCACCGAGCTATTGTTAATACTCTGTGGTAATTAACAATACATTGTGGTTTGGGTGATTTTCACGCTTTTATGACATTTGTAAAAAAAATCACTCCTGACCACCTGATAATTTAAACAGATTACTATTTTCTTTTGCTTGTTTGCCATTGAATTCGGCGTATAATAAATTTTATGGAAGAGATTCTTCACAGAAACTTTCCTGTTATGTTAAGGTAACATTGACCTAGAGAGTAACTGATTGATAATTGGTAACATTCAATTTGAAACTGTAAAAAGAAAAGTTAAACTGTATCATGTGAAATAAAGGCATTCTTTGAATTTATAAAGTTTCCTATTAAACCTGATTATAATTAATGTCAATCAAATTGAAATAATAATAAGTGACTGCATTTAAGCTGTGGTTAATAAATTGCAATAAATATAATCAAGTTTAGGCAGGGTTATCAGTTACGTGATGATCACAATGTAAACATGCAATCGATTTAAGAATCGCTGATTGCGATTACGATTACCCCGGGTCTGCAGATAACAATCTATCACAAAAGCTTACGATGAGCACTTTGTGCCCTAAGGTGAGCTATTATGATATATATGTTGTTTTAATTTTTCATACAACACACGTGATTTGTGGTGGCATAGCAAAGTGGTTAAACGTTGGACTAGAAATCTTAAGATTACCGGACGCCCGCCAAAGATAGTCTTGTAGACGGATTATAACAATTGTTATTTAAATTTCTCTTCTTAGTAGATAACAAATTCCCTGCACAATCTAATCACTTTTTATCTTAAAAAGAAATAGTGTGTGATAATTAGATTTAAAAACAAAAACAAATAAAAAAACCAACATTTATAATATAAATACGTAACCTACCTTCACAATGTTCGACTGTTAAAATATAGAACACTCAGATTACATTTATCATGTTCCGTTTTTAAAATTGAAATTCTTCCTTAACAGTAAGACATTATTCAACAAAATGCTGTAAAGATATGGCAAAATCGTAATATGTTATCTTAAGTTTGATAAAGGTATTGATTGCATATACAAGAAAAAATGTATTTGAGTTCAAACGGATTTAAAGTAGTTCTACCATGTGACTTCAAATTAAATAAAAATTGAGTGCAAACTTTATACAAATGAATGAGGAACAAATGTACGTATTTTAATTCAAACGGAAAATAAGTCAATTTAGGTAAAATTATGATTGCAAAATATATCTTTCAGAATCATTTAAAAAATGTCCATTGTGAATCAATTAGTTTAAAACCAACCTGAAAAAAATGTAAACAAGTACACAGTTGGTGCTTTTAGTCTTTTTACAACTAAATATTTATTTTAAGATAATGTTGTTTTTTTCTGTAACTACCAATGAAATAAGTTAAGTGGACTTGTACACCATTTAATTAATGTATACTAACGAAAAAAATGCATACATTAACATTCTATTAATTTATATGTTTAGAGTTATTTTCTGTAATTCTCTATTTATTTTGAATTATTTATAATGGTATCCCGTCCGTTATTGCGTGTTACTCTGTCCTGTTTGATTTCTGCCAGAGCTATTTGCCGGTGATCCTGTGTTAGGGGTTGTGTTCATAGAATGCCGCCCTTCCTTGCTGATCTTATTTCCATATTTCGCAAACATGAATAAAAAAGTCTCTAATTGTGAAGGCCGTGAACAACTGAAACATTTTTAGTGTTTATGTCCTAAAAAGTCCTCCAAAATAAAAGGTGGTCTCATAAAGTCCTTTAAACATTTTTAAGACTTGTATTCACGGCTAATTTTACAACTATTTAAGGATAAAATAATAAGAAATCATAGGTTTTGTAAAGGTTTTGACACATTTTACCAAGCTTTGGAACACTTTTATAAAAACCAGAGTTCAAACCCAGAAAAGATAATTAATCAGTGTATTACATTTTGTCCCAACGTGCGGCCTCCAAAGAGATATTTTAAAACATTATCTTTATTCTGTCCCACAAAGGCCCTAACTTAGAGACCCAGATTTTTGGGACAGTGTTAGAATAAACATACCACTTGATTTAAAACCACACATCACAAGAAAAATAACTAGGGTTGTTTTGATATTCAGAAAAGGGTTTCGTCTCAAATATTTTGAACAAGGGTATATAATCCCTTATGAAACCATATGTTTTAACCCCTAAAAAGTCCAGGGGCACTAAGTTAAAGACTCTCTACCTTTGATCAGTTATTATATGTCACAGCAGGTCTAGCAGCACTTAACGCTTACCTTTAATTAGCCCTTTGTTCTTAGATGTCTATAAGGGACCTGAGATAGGGCCACTTTTGACCTTTATTGGCGGTATCCTTCCCGGTCTCCTAGAAGTTCTTACCAATATGGAGAAGGTCTTTTCCAGTGTTTTTAAATTTCTGAAACTGTGTAATAAGGTCCTCCTGAATGTCGTTTACCTTCTTACAATGTCGACGACTTGAATACTCCACTTTACCTTGACTGTAAATAGAATCCGTGAATGTCGTTTAAGTCATTTGAATGAACTGAAGTCCTTCAAAGTCTGTAAATTTCGATTTCTGCGAGGAAGATTGTAAACTCGTTAAAGTCCTACTGAGTTTCCCTACAGCCATATATTACAACAATTCCCAACACAAACATACTAAACATTTGCATGACATTGTAAGGTGTATATGGTCTTCAAACAGTGGTCCGAGTCAGAGGGACTTTAACAAATATGCATCCAGCAAACAAATTTCAGGAAGCCAATCCGAAACCTTATTTATTAGTTCGCGTGGTCTATTCACTACATCCTGGGTTAATGAAGCGCCATGTGTTATAAAGTGTGAAGGTCGCCAATTTTCACAGAATGCAAAATCATTTTCTATACAACTCTGGTAGCAACAAATACATAGGACTTTGGAATTCCTTAGCAAAGTCCTTTATAGGAATTCGACTTCAACGACTAGTACAGGAAAGAAGCAGTCCAAAAGGTTCCTCACAACCCGATAAACACCTGGGTCTCGCTTTAGGTCAAGAATAAGTACGAAAGATATACATCACCTGCGTCAAGCACAAGAACGCACTTCTCGTCGCCATGACTTGTATAAGCGTAGACTCACAATACGTTTACACCGTGTATATCCAATAACACCAGAATGTGAAAATAACAAACGATTCGTGCGAAAAATTACGCAGGAATGTGCAATAAATGGCGGATGCCTGGCAGCATTTCAAACGCGGTAAGTAAACTGGCCAATATATATATTTTCATTCACCAAACCAAAAAAAAAATTGCCGCATACGGCTGTGAAGAAATTATACTTTAACCCTTATCAAGATTATTTCTACAAAATTGCTTACTTTTTGAAATCATTCGTGAAAATGATGACTTGACCACCGTTTTGAGTGTGATTTTGTCTTTTTGTCTACTGTATTTAGTACAACAATGCATATTATACCGTAAAATTTCGATTTTCGGTAGGTTAAGGACATTACTAAATTTCTGGTGGCATAGAAAATTACAAATAAGCTGAAACAATGTGATTCAAGCCGTTTTATGAGGCAGTGAACAGTGCTTCGCGATAACGCCGGAAATATGATTTTTTCATATATGTTTAAGAATTATTACCCAGGTTTATAAATATATTTGATTTGTAAAGGGGGCAATAGACGGTGTATTGTCAGTCAGGCAACGAAAAAGGCGGTCGCCGGAACGCAATACTGAATTTTTCAATGACTTTGAAAACATGACTGCCTTGACAGTCACTACGGTACAAAATCACTTATTGATTCTGTTGAAACCAAGTTTGTCAATCTTGGGAGGCAGAAATGGCTACAGTTAAGGGATGTGATGGGTACAGATCTGTGCTGAAGCACAATGTACCATTTTTGAAGTAACTCAAAGTTATTCGTAACTCTTACTTTACATACATAGCAGATAGACAGAAGTTTGTTATCATAATATCTTCAAATTTCTAGTCCTCCTAAATTCTGTTTTGAAACAAAAACACCTAGAAATGTAGTCCTACAATTATACTATTTTAATTATGGTTTAGCAAACAAAATACATAATAAAGATTTAGTACATTTTAAGTTCATTGACTCACAAGCCATAAACAAGATGTCTTCATTTTGAAAACGATAGTTCAGTATACAAAACTGTAGATAAACAAGCACTCAATGACACTTTACATTTCAGGAAAATTATCGCCAAAAATCAAGAATTTCGCGAAGTGTTAGAAGCACTATTCCAGATCCGTGATTTATTTCCCCTTTTTATGCCAAAAAGAATTTCGGGCATATTATTTCCCCCTGGCGTCCATCCGTATGTCCGTCCGTCCGTTAGCAATTTTGTTTCCGGAGCATAGCTAAAGTTACATTTCGCAATTAAGTATTAATCAACCTACAGCTGTAAAATTGTAAAGGATGAACGGACATGTCCAATACATGACCCCTATTGATTTTAGGGTCATAAGGTCGAAGGTCAGGGTCACAATGATCTTTACATTGAAAATTGTGGTTTCTGGAGCATAATTTAAGTTCCATTTGGCCCAGTGTTAAAACGTCATAGGATGATTGACACTTTTGAATAAAAGATCCATATCTATATTGGGGTCACAAGGTCAAAGGTCAATATCAAATGACCTTAATATTGTTAACAGTTTTATAACAGTCAAACTTCATAGGATGATCACTTATATTGAGAACATTAATTATATGCCCTAAAAAATTGCTTATACATTTGTATTATGTTATACCTCTGGCGTCTTTCCGTCCATCCGCTGTAGCATTTTTACTTATAAAATAACAACTTGATTGTGGTGTTTTGGAAACAGCAACTGTATATACATGAAGGTTCTTCAGCTATAAAGGAGGATGGTTTTTTGAAGGAGGTAATACTTTAATTATTCCCATGTCTTACAAATGTTTCATCCGTACTGAAAAACACTTCCGGGCATATAATGCTCCGCCTAGCGGTGCTCTTGTTTTACTTAGATTTCCAGCAGAAAAACGGCATATCACGTAAAGAGTCATACTAGTCATTTTTGAATGTAGAAAGTTTATTGTCATTATTCATGATTGCCTACTTACCTTCTTGACGTCATTCAAGAAAGAAGCAAAAGCAGGACTATAAATGTATACTGTTCATGTTTTGGATGTAAGAAAAATGGCATACATATTCACATATTCACTTTCATACAAATTTATTAACACAGAAGGTCATAACTTATAATTTTCGTTTTTATATTATGGAATTTAAATGATTATAGATATGTTAATACAAATGCACTTTGTTGTTTGAAATTATTCTGTGTCCAATAGAATTGCAACATTTCAAATAAATAATAATAGCACATTTAATTTGGTAAACCGGCAAAATTCAATCAGCCATTGAAATTGACTAGCTGCTCATGATAGAAACCTTAGAATGTATAAGACATTGTATCTATCTTAGACTTGACTCATTTTGTCTATGAAAGGTCAAAGTACATTAAAGTAAACGCCAAGCACTGAAAGGTAGTACTGCTTATTTCACAACGATGCACATAGATATCATACATTACAAAACTTGAAAGCACCTTCGATACAATTTAAATTTTAACTGTTTAGTTTCCATGAATTTGCTTTTTTTCAATTGTGTTGGAACTTATAAATTTATTAAAACACTCTCTCGAATCCACTGTTGGAACCAAACAGTACTAAGCAATGATTGAAAAGTTCTTGCTCATGACTTGTTTCAAACCGTTAATCCGATAGTTCTAGTCATAGAGTCGTGTTAGAAACTTTTTTCGAAAAATTATCTTTAGATTTTGAGACAATCTTCTTTTATGTATTAAAATCATTTTTGAATTTACAGTCATAAGATACGCATAAAAAGTGTTATCATTTAGTAATGTATACACGTTCACATACAGTACTCGGAAACATGAAACACTACATCGGAATAACCTTGGTAAAACCTGTCAAATGCAACACATCAGCACATTGAAACTGC